AGGTCCTCATTTTTCCCCTCCCTCCCCGCTCCCCCCTCCCTAGTATAATATTCTTACAATAAAATAGACACATCTTAAGTTTATAGTTTGGTGAACTTTGACAAATGTACACTCCTGTGTAAATAGCAGCCAGATCAAGATGCAGAACACTTAATATCATTCCAGAAAGCTCCTTCATGTGTCTGGCAGTTAGATAATTTTATGTCAACTTGAAAATGTATAGAGGTGTAGGTGTAGATTCTAACCTGTCAATTATGCCAAACCTGATGCTATCTTTTTGGAGGTGTGGCCTTTTGTAAGGCGGTCCCTGGCAAGTTACTACTCCCTCTCCCCTTTTGCCTTTTTGCTTGTTGGGACTGAGTCTCTGACCCTGTGACTTGCTGGAGCTCTGCCATGTTTCCCCTGACCTTGGCTCCACATGACTCTGCATCCACTGGTCTGTGATCTTCCTGCATTCTGCATCATTGTATGTGACTGGCTGAGTCTGAAAGGTGACGTATGGACTAGTATTGGACTTACCGTATATACTTGAGTTGCACTGGGCTGGAATGCTTTCTTGATATACAATTAGTTCTTCATATGGAGCTCTTATACGTATATGTCACCGGGTTTGTTTCTCTTGTCAACCCAGCCTAAAACAAAGCCTCTTTGTATCCATCCTCCTCTTCCTCACTTGTATCAGGCAATCAAGGCTATTGATGACTTTTGCCTCTTCTAGAACTTCATATAGATCAAACCATATACCCTGTATTGTCTTGTGCCTGTCTGTAGCCAAGCACACTCAGAGGTACATACAGCCTTCTCTGGGACTTGCATGGGACACAGGCTTCTGTCACAAACTTCTGGACTCATGGACATTGTTGCTGGTTCAGTAGCTGCCATCTGCAATCTATCTCTTGACAGTCCATTTTTTACAATCCAGTTAGCTGATTCAGTAAATCTTTGGCCTTTTGATAGTACAGATAAATTCTGAAGGCCACAAATCTAAATCAGGGCCTAGCTCCATTGATTCCTTCCTTGTGATCCAGGATTTCCTTGGTTTCATCTGTCTTTCCCAATATGTGGTGAGGCCAGCCCACAACCAAATGGGTCTTATGGAGTGATTGTGCTATTGAAAGGAAAAAAATAAAGATACAGATAAAAATTCAGTCTGCTCACCTCTTCCATGAAGCCAGGAACAAGAGAGAGAGAGCGAATATATTCTTTTTTTTAAAAAATCATTTTATTGGGGACTCGTACAATTCTTATCACAATCCATATGATCATCCATTGTGTCAAGCTCATATGTACATTTGTTGCCATCATCATTCTCAAAACATTTGCCTTCTACTTGAGCCCTTAATATCGGCTACTCATCCCCCCCCATGAACCCTTCATAATTCATAAATTATTATTATTTTGTCATGAATATATTCTTTAACAGGCTTATATAGTCTTGGGACATGCAAGTCCCATCAATTATAGTCAGTCACATAGTAACAAGGTGGGCAGTGTCTTAACCCTGGATGTCCCTGAGCTCACTGGGGGAAAAACCTAATACTAGTATAGTGGGGGCAGGCAGAAGGTGATTGAATGTCCCCTGAGTGGAGAGAACAATGGAAATATGTCAGTTCTTACATAAAGACAGTCTCTGGCCGCATAGAGATCAGCCATGTGTATGTAATAGCTATTAAAGTATTACTATTATTGGGGGAGATTGTGGGGAATGACTTTTAATTAGGAGAATGTGATGGGATCAATCTCCAGATTACAAATGTGAAGGCCTCTCTTCACTAGAGTCCTGGCCTTACAGACTTCTTAATTATGATCATAGAGAATTTATCCATACATTCTGTTCTTGATCCTCATTTTCCCACAATGATGTGCTTTGATAAGACAAATATTTGTCTAACTAATGTCAGATATGAATTCTACTTAACTGTTTGGACAGCCATATAAGTTCAACTTAAAGATAAATTTAAGAATGAAGCTCATTTGTAATCCAGTTATTGCTTTGTACCTCAAAGATTGTTGTAAAGGATGCTATGAGTTAATCTATATAAAACACTTGGAACAACAGTACCTAAAACAAATAAGACCTTTCTAAGTGTTAGAAATTATTTTTTGTTTTGGTTGATAATATTGCGATTAGAAAAAACACTACTTTTTTCAAGATAATTGTGTTTATAAGAAAACCATCATAGTATATTGAGTTTTGCTAAAGTAAAATGCTTTATTATCATTGGGTAGTATGCTGCAGTAGAATTATTTGACACCGTTCTTCTATCCATAGTCTTTTTTAATTTCCACAAAATGAGTGGATAGGACCATGCAAATAAGTTTATAACACTCTTAACATGCAGATTGATCAGTCTAGGCATTCTGCTAGGAATAAAGTGAGTAATTTTTGAAGCAGGAACAGAGAATTTCATGACCACTAAGAATGAAGAGGTACTAGAGATCTCTGTAGAGAAGTGGAGGCAGTGGCAGTAGCAAATTGAGGCAGCAGTGGGCTTCCAGCCCCAACATTGAGAAAAGCTTGAGTGCCAGGAGGCTGGTTTACAGAGAGGAGTTCCTTCTCAGCATTTAGCATCGCTAAAGGAACTTTGTATTATGTACCTGAATTAGGCATAGGCCAAAGTGCCTTGTTGCGGAGAGAACAAGGACCAAAGAGAGATGTGTCTGCTGGCATGGGTGACAAAAAGCACAGTAGACAAAACAATTGGATCCTTGTTTTCTGATCCTGACTTCTTGTAAACAATGAACTTCCCCAATCAACCCTATTTGTGAGTCATTGTATATGAGGTCCATGTAGTGATTGCAATAGAACTTAACAGAGAAGTAGGGTGCAGTGCAAGGGATTGGTTGTCAAAATAGGGTAAAGAAAGTTGGAGAGTGGAAGCATGTCTGATCACTACTTTGTTGAAATTGACCTTGCACTGATGTGGAGTTGAATTATCCTCCCTTGTATAGCTGAAGGAGGTCAGTCATGGCTCCCATACCATTTCCTCAGTCAGAAATACCTATAATGCCCTCCCTATACAGCCCCCCCCATCCAAAAATAAAAAAAGTGTGTGGACTTCAGGGTCAGTGTGTGGAAGCTTTAAATAGATCCACCCATTGTCCCTCTCAACTGTAGCCTTATATCTGAGATTGTTGTTTTTAGATGCTATCAAGTCCATTCTGACTCCTAGTGACCCCAATGTACATTAGAATGAAAGACTACTTGCTCCTGTGCCAGTTTTACAATTTGTGATAGCTAGGTTTATTGTGCCAACCTGGCCAATAGGAACATGGGGGATTAATAAGGTCACAGTTTGATTGGAGGGCAAAGAGATAAATGGCTTGCAAGGCCCTCCCTTCTCTCTCTTGCTCTCTGGTGGTCAGACCAGCTTGCAGTTGCGTTAGCTAGTTCTCTGCCTTGGCTTGTGAGCTACACTGCCTGTGGGACAGCCAACCTGTGGAAGTTGCATCCTTCATATAGTTTAGCTTCTTGGGTCATTTGTTCAGCATACAGATTGAATAAATATAGTAAAGTGATATAACTGTGATGGACACCTTTTTTAGATCTATAATACTCTACATATCATACGATTCAATAATTCAATTGTTCAATCATATCAAGAATTGTACAATTATTACCACATCAATTTTAGGGAGCTCCATTTTTTACTAATGTCTTCTGTACTGTACATAGTGGTTTCTTAATATAGGTAAATTAGAGGTGAGATGATATACAAATATTAGGTATGTTATAAATAGTATAGCATGATGGGTAAGGCTTCTGAATTATAATTAGGTAGATTTAAACTTGTATGATTTGGGGCCAGATAATCTATGGTTAATAAGAAGAATTTTTGGAATGAAGAAAAATGAAAAAACTTTAAAGATGCATGGGAATAAATGAGCTAGGGCATCAGTGGACCCTACAAACTCTAGCCTCCACTGTCTGAGACTTGAAGAACTATATGCTGCTCAGCTACCATTGCTGACCACTCTAGTAGGAATCAGAATAGAGCCCTGTATAAGGTAGGGGAAAATGTGCAATATTTAAAATTATGCAAAGACTAGGGTTGATAGTGACTGGTGGAACCCCAAGTCCAAGATTATAAGTCTTGGACTATCTATGAAGTTGTAAAAAAGAATATCTTCACATAGATGAAGTAGCTGTCATGAGTGTTGCATAAGAGAATTATAAAAAAATGTTCCTGACACTTAATAAGTACTCAGTAAGTTTTAACCATTATTATTTTCTGTACCTGTGGTGTTTGTTGGCCTTTTTGAACCAAACATGTTCATTAAATTTGCTGATTGAAGTTAGGCAAAATTGCCCTTTCTCAAAGGTCTTCTCCCCGAATGATATTTATATTATATGGCTTCCATTGTAATTTGTATTTGCATGCAGGTAAATGGAAATTATTACCTTATCACCATTAACGGCTCACTTGTTTTTTTCTTGTTATGCTAGGACTCTGGTTAGGAGTAGAATGGGACAACCCTGAGAGAGGGAAGCATGATGGAAGCCATGAAGGGACTGTGTATTTTAAATGCAGGTAATTTTTCATTGTGAATTGGTATAGTCATTTAGTCAAAATAATTATTTGTTGGCTAAAGGGATAGAGATAATGCTTAAACATTTAAAATTAATTTTATTTCATTTTAAATGAGAATTTTGATGACTTGAGAAAGTATATGCGTAGGTTATGTTATTATTTATCCGTTCCATTTTGAGACACTTATAGACAAATCTGCTACAGAAGACCTCTATTCTTTACAGTGTTAAGAAACAAAGTTGTTGCTTTGAAGCTTGAGGTGCACCTCACTAAGCCATGGTATTTTAGTCACTGCATATATACGAGGTGGTACCAAAAAAAAAGCAAACCAAAAAAAAGGAATTTTTTTTCAAAACTATTTAAGTTTTTTTTTACAAAATAACCTTATCACCTTCAAAGTACTTGCCATTACACTTAAATACATTTGTCAAATCTGCAATTCCATTCTTGGAAAAATTTTTCAAACTCATCTGTTTGGATGACAGACAGCACCTCCCTTGTTTTTTTCTTCACCTCTTCTAATTGGTCAAATGGCTGTCCTTTTCCTCTTCATTCACGGAAACAAAAAGAAGTCACACGGCACGAGGTGAGGTGAGTAAGGTGCGTGAAACAAGAGAGGCATGCTGTTTTTTTGCCAAAAACTGGCGCACTGAGATGGCTGTATGAGCAGGTGCATTGTCGTGGTGGTAAAACCAGTCCCCCATCTGCCACAAATCAGACCTTTTTGTTGTGCACTGTTACATAATCTTTTCAAAACTTCTAAATAGCTTGATTAATAGTCTGACCTGGTGGAACAAACTCTAAATGTACTATCCCCTTCATTTCACATCCGGTTTTTTGGGGGTACACACACGCGAGCCCATGCACGCGTGTGTGTATATGTTGGATCATGAGTCAGGAAGACTGAAGGAAAGAATTGATGCATTTGTTTGATGGTGTTGGTACGGAATAATGATGGAGTGCCAGAGAATGAGCAAATTTGTCTTAGAAGTATGACCATGATACTCCTTAGAATTGAGAAGGACAGTTGTTCATCTCATGTACTTTGGGCATGATAACAGGAGGGAACAGTCTCTGGAGAAGTATTTTATTCTTGGTAAAGTAGCAGAATGTATACATAGAACAAGAGGCAGTCTTTTGAACAGAACATGGGGATTCTGAATGGTTTTAAATCAGGAAAGGTGTGTGTCAGGGTTGTATCCTTTTACCATATTTATTCAATCTTTATGCTGCACAAATAATCCAAGAAGCTAGACTATATGAAGAAGAACACAGTGTCAGAATTGGAGAAAGGTTCATCAACAACTTATGATAAGCAGATAGCATAACTTTGTTTTTGAAAGTGAAGAAAGCTTGAAAGAATGAAAATTAAAGACTACAATCTTCAGTATGGATTTTACCTCAACATAAATAAAACAAAAATCCTCCCAACTGGGCAAATAAGCATCATGATGATTGAAGACTATTGAAATTATGATTTAATTTTATTTAGATCCACAGTCAATACTCATAGAAGTAAATGTCAAGAATTCAAACAATGGTTGGATGGGTCTGCAATAAACTTTTCATAAAGAGTTACAGAGTCAAGGTGCCACTTTGAGGAATAAAGAGCGCCTGGCCCAAGTATTGCTATTTTCAGTAACTTCATATGTATATGAAAATTGGGTGATACATAAGGGAGACTGGAGAAGAACTGATACATTTTAATTATGTTGCTGATGAAGTGCTAACAAATCCATCTTAAAGAAGTACAGCCAGAGTGCTCCTAAGAAGAAAGTTTGGGAGACTTTGTCAGACATATTTTGCATATGTTATCAAAAGGGACCAGTCCATGAAGAATTTTCTCATGTTTGATAAAGTATACGTGCAAAAGAGGAAGACCATCAAAGAGATAAATTAACACAGTGGCTCCACCAGTGGGCTTGAACATAGCATCACTGGGATGATGCAGGATCAAGGCAGTATTGTATTTTGTTGTACTAGGATGGTTATGAGTTGTAACTGATTCAAGGGAACCGAACAATAACAACAATATGGGGCAATATAAAAGGAACATTAGGCCTAATACAGTGGAAACTCTAGTGGTCTAGACCAGTGGTTCTCAACCTTCCTAATGCTGCAACCCTTTAATACAGTTCCTCCTGTTGTGGTGACCCCCCAACCATAAAGTTATTTTTGTTGCTACTTCATAACTGTAATTTTGCTACTGTGATGAATCGGGCAACCCCTGTGAAAGGGCCCTAAAGAGCTCACAACCTACAGGTTGAGAACCTCTGGTCTAGACTAAAGGAATTTAAGTGTACCTTTTTAGTTAATCTTTACAGCTTTCTCAACTGGAATATTAGTAAAGGGTATACCAATATTTTATCATTTCTAGTCAGACAAGCAAATTATACCACGTGTTTACTGTTAATCTCATACATTGTGGCAGTTCCATACTCTCCTGTCAACTTGAGCAATCAGGTCATAACTAATGATGCCATGTGTGAGCATGGCCTTCTCTTGAGGATTCTGGGAACTCCTGTCTTCCCTGGAGGTGGAACACATACTTGCTCTGTTTCACACTCTGTTGACAAGCCACATGAAGTTATGCTGATGGCAACCAGAGCCACGGAGCTGAAGGAACCACATGGAGAGCTACTCTAGCACTGATAAGCTGCTTCCACAGGACTTTTCACCCACTGGCCTGTGATCTTCCTGCTTGCAGCATCATTGCATGTGCTGGGTGAGTCTGTAGAAGAATTTATGGACTAGTGTCTGCCCTATGGGCTAATATCGGACTTATGTGCTAATACTGAATTTATGGGCGATGTGGACTGGGCTGGGCTGTTTTCTTCAGATACAATTGCTCGTTGATATAAAGCTCTTTCCTATACATATATGAGTCTCCAAGGATTTGTTTCTCTAGTCTACCCGGACTAACACAGATATATTACTATATGTCATGTGTACTTCTTCATTTTTATGAAACTGATTGAAGTGTTTTGAAATTTGAAACATTGACTTCTATGGAAAGTTATAATAACAAAAAATTACCGATCTATAAGAACATTTTACCATGGTAAACATTTTCTTTTTGTTAAGATACTATGTTAATGAAGCCAAAATATTTTAAAGTTGTCAGTTTATAAATCTTAGATTGTGAAATTGGTATGTGGCAAAATGATGTACTCATTATAAGTAAGCAAAACTTGAGCTGCAGCTTGTTTGTTACTGCAGAAGTTAGAGTAAAATTTGTGTTTTGTTTTTCTTCCCACGCTAGCTTTTAAGAATCATGATAATGTTAATTTGTATGTCAGGGATCTAACAATGTAATTGTGCTTTTAACACATAAATGTTATAAAAATTCATTTGCTTCTTGGCATTTTAAACAAAGGATATCAGTATATCCTTTGTTCAATGCCATATTTGATATGCACAGCTCTTGAATTTCCTTAGTGTCTCAAGTTGGAATAGGTGATACTCTACTGTCCATGGTTAGGCTTTGCCTTTCTAGGTCAGAACTATAAAAACCAGTGAAGTTTTCAAGGTCTAGCCCATGGTGTACCTTTTCCCTTCCAGTATTTTCTTTTTAATCATTTTATTAGGGGCTCATACAACTCTTATCACAATCCATACATACATCAGTTCTGTAAAGCACATTTGTACATTCATTGACCTTGTCATTCTTAAAACATTTGTGTTCTACTTAAGCCCCCGGCATCAGGTCCTCATTCTCCCCCCTCCCTCCCCATTCCCCCCTCCCTCATGAGCCCTTGATAATTTATAAATTGGTTATTTTGTCATATCCTGCCCTCTCCGACGTCTTACTTCACCCACTTTTCTGTTGTCCGTCCCCCAGGGAGGAGGTCACATATAGATCCTTGTAATTGGTTCCC